GGACGTTTCAAATAGAACTTGCAGATCTTGATGAGATTAATACGTATACATAAGTATATTTTATATCATGCCCCAAATAGTGGTACGATTGTATGTTGTAGACAAAATCGAGGAAGTTGTCCTTTGACATCTTCCTTTACCCTCTTTTTTAACGTAGTTGAAGCTCAATTATTCTGCGTCCACTGTACTGACAGCGTCGTTAAATAACCTGTAAACAACTCAAAAGAAAAAGACTTTAATAATTTAATTAGGAGTTTAATTATCATAATAAATGTTAAATATTTTTTTGTAGTGACGTGTTACGTAACATAATCTTTCTTCGATATCGTAACTAACTGAGCGTGTTATTTTCAGCAAAAAACACCAATCTAATGAATGAGGAAACTTCGTGGCTACTTTAATCAAGGGATTTTGATTGACAAAGGTCGTATTATCATAGGTCCATTTCTGAAAAGTTATGGAAGTGATAACTAAATACGTTATCAGAAGTAAATGGATATAAGGGGAATTTTGTACAATAACTTCAAAGATACATTGAAATGAGTATTATTTAATAAACATATTACGAAATTGTTTGACTGCCGCTTGTAACATTTATGCACCATATTGTCACGGTAGACTACACTGCATTACATATTTTGTTGAGGTGTTATACAGTAATCCCCCGTAAACAAATGTGCATTAAAGTCACAAGCGAACACTAAACAATTTTAAACATTTCAGTTTAACTTTGAAGTCTCTGTAGAATTTTCCCTTATAGCCCCTCATTTCTGGAAGGTATTTTTATTTATTTAAAACTATCATGACTTCTTAAAACTTACTGAGATGACCATATTAATAGGAATCTTAGGCAGTGTCCTTCTGAATCACCATGTATATAAAAATATTTAGCCCTGTGTTATAATTTACTCTATATGAATTTATGCGTAGTAAATCATTTTTGTTTCTTTTGAGTGACATATTATTATTAACACATTTCATTCTATCTCATACCAACGTGAAAACATAAAACTAAGGAACAAACGTAGGTCACCATTCCGTTCAGTTACGATAACCATCGTATGATTCAAGCAAATATCATTATAGTGAGACTGAACATTGATAACATGAGATTTAACTTTCTTGAGGACTAATATCTGATAGGTTGTACGTCCTCTAATGCGAAAACACTTATCTCGTTCTCGCAGACGGGCTCTGTACTCTGGAAAGATAATGAGTGCACAAAAGACGCGGGAAACATCGTATTGAATAGTTTAAATGAAATAACCAGATATTACAACATATAGTTTTAATGTTCAGTGTAGAAACACGACTTCTATGACGTTCTCGCTGGATGTTTCTTGAGAAAGTGACTGTCGTTCAGCTACCCAGAAAATTATCAGTTTGTTTATAAAACATGAAAAATATGCCGTGTTTACAAGAATCCGCTATTGAGTCAGCTTCATCCAATCCACATTTCTGTAGTAATATTGCCCCCATCTGCGCTTAGAAGTCTGAGTCATCAATTCTCTGACATCGACTGCGAGAAGGGATGTTGTGGAACCTTACAGGCAGTATGAAACCCCTGTCTCCTCCGTCTCGATGGTACATATTCAGTGAGAACTCATAGTAAATCAGCCAACACGATCATCACTAGCTCTAGCAGACTCCATCTTATAACGCCGAATCACTATTCCACATCTGCGATCATTGAAAATAATATATTGGGCTATAAAGGTTCCTTTTGTAAAAATTCTAATCTTTGTATAAACATGCTTTTTTAATACATTCTTCGTGGCCAGTAAACAAGATCGAATATAACAGGTAGAAAGGAATGGATGTACAGGAAACACTGAAGCTTAAACCTGTATGTTACATCTCGTTCATGACTCAGACACTCGTAAATTAAATGTTAAAATGGTTTAACTGTCTCTGTAACGGAAATGTGTACAACCACTAGACGACATCTTCATGCATGCTTTTCACGAATCGTAATGGAGAGGCCATAAATGTCTGTTCTCATGTCTCGTCTCCGAAACTGTCAAACGGATTTATGTTAATCTTGTTAATGGGGAAATCGAAGTAAGAGTTTACCCAGTACACTTATAATTTCACCGTTGGTAAAGGGGCCGAAACGTGAAGCTGTTTAATTTAATCTAGCCCATAGGTGTATAATGTGCTAAGTTTATATTGATGGGTAATTTTCGCTTTTTAAAAGACATTATTAGTATAAGGTAAAATTGACACAAAAGGAGAGAATGCGAATAATAGAAACAAGGAGGGAGATAATAAGGGACGGAAAAGAATGCAAGAAAGGAAGAAATTGCCTTTAGCTGACGAAATGAGATGACTCCCATACATGTCACGTGGCAAAGCCAGATTCCAAAATCTGAGTCGTAATTGAAGTGTTTTCGCTTCCTTCCTGAAGTGGTTCTCCTTGAGTAGCGTCGTTGCGTCATCAGTAGAATCAACGGTGACTTTACTTTGTTTTGTAAACAAACACAAATGCCCTGCTGTCATAGGCCCTTTGTAGCCATGTTAGATGCCGGAAGCGGACTGGAAGGTAAACCACGTCTGTCTGTGCGCGTATCTCATATCCTAAACTGCATTTCGATTAAATTTGGCACTGAACGTGCACACTGAAAGTCGTTGGGGTAAATTTCAAATTTGAGGTTTAGACAGCAGTGAAAATTTAGATCGTGGTCTTCTGTGTAAGAAGGCAATGTAGTTTTGAAAGGTTGTTACGAATATTTTGAACGAACTTCTCGCCTCCATCTTCAGGGTAACCTGACTCAGAAGATCGTACTCCAAATTTGAATTTGGTTTATATCGGTCCAGTATAAACCCAACTTTGAATAAAACTCAAACTGAACCTTCATAAATAAACTCGCCACACATAAAGATGGTTGTCTTCTAGCTGGCCCTAGTAATGGAGGGAGCAAGGACCTCTGAAACGTCGGTAAACTTCTACCAGATTACACGGCGCAACAAACCCAGAAGACAGCCATCTTCATACTCGTCTCCGCGAGAACGTTACGTTATTGATGCATGACGTAAAATCCTTACGATCTACAAACGTTTTCTTGAAACATTCTTCCATATGATGCGTCCTACAAAGAGCATGTAAAGGTAATTGCAGACTCCATGAGAGTTGTAGTGCAAATAGTTCAGCAGAGTTTCTGTTAGATACGTCTTCTTCGTCTTCCTATCAAGGGCTGAGTCCGTTGACCCGTTCCCGAGACTAAATAAACTGTCTCCATCTTCTTCTTGGAAGACCAACATCTCGCCTTCGAATAGGATTATATGTTTGCTACGGCAGGCGTTCTTAAGACACGGTTTCTACATGATTATGCCATTTCTTGTTGCATTATGGTATTTTTTCCACCGTTCGTTCTTTGTTTATTTTGCGATAATTAAGTCTCAATGCCAACGGGGTATGCAGAGTAGCAAATAACGTATTTATGAAAATAAAATACATGTCTCTACTCGTGTTACAGGTGTTCAGGTGTTTCGTTTGTGTTTGTGGAATTAAGGCGTAATGTATTCCTAAAAATCCCTGTCCAAACACAGCGCTGGGAAAGGCATTTGGCCTATAGCTTTTACCTTTTAGCACAGAAGTGTTTTGTTTGCCCAAACTCTTTGTAAGTTGTTTCTTGTTTGAGTCAAACTGAACATCGCGTATGACTTGAGGTAACAGGATGTTGAGTTCTAAAAGAGTTCAGTTATATAAATCTGGACTCCGTATTGACTTAACGTAGTCTCAAATGAACTAAAGAAACAAATGAAATAAGTTGATAAATCGGTATTAAATAAATGCTTCCGGAATGTGCACTTCGACGTTAAGTATGAGTCATGTTGTTTGTGCTATAGCAGCGGAGTTGAATAATAATGAACACACTCTCGATACAACGACCTTGCTTCAACCATTTATTCCGCATAAAGAGAACATGTTCCTTTTATTCACTGTTTCCAAAATGTATTAGACTGCGTTCATAATCAGATGATTTATTCCTGTTTGAGCTCCGAACGAGACGTTAACAACTTTTTAACTCGGTAAAACAGAGTGCACAGTTTGTCGTCAGCTCTCAGCAATGTCTGGGCGGTGGGTCCAAACTTTCTCAGGAAGTTCTTTAGTTTTATGGCCCTCAGACTGCACGTAAACAGAAACTCTTGATTCATCAAAGTGAAAATAAATTATTCTTCAGTTTCTTAACAAAATACCTAGGATTTACGAGAGATTTGAGGTTATCACAGCGGTGAGGATGACGTGTAACTCTTGTGGACTTCGATGTCGTTTATACGAATGGGTTGACAACGCTTCGGAGAAATATACCGTCGCCATCTTAAGGGTTGAAGTGGCGATGTTGGGAAGTGGAGGAATTTGTATAGGATCACAGGAAGGAAAGGCTCGTACACACGGCGTCAAGAAACACAAGATCATCATCATGTGATTTATGAGTTTTCAGAGTTTTCATCAGTATAAATTACAACATAGAACTTGCCACGAAAATACAGAAACAAAAGAAGGCATTCGTTCACAAAATTAAAATCGTCTTTATAATATCAAAAAATAAATAACAATATAAATTCGCACCCTATTCCTCTAAAATTTATTATCAGTCCATTTGATACAAACTGGTCACATACTTATTCAGTTTGCTAAACAAAATCACGAATTTCTTATTTTTAGGTACGTGTTCTTTCTAACTTATCAATTTAATTAATTATGCAGAATATCAATGAGCACACTTATAAACCTGGAAAACATATTTCGAAATTCATTAACACTTTAAAACATAATGCTTATTATAAATACAACTTTCGTTAACATTCAGTAGTTCAACATTCTGACCACAGAGTATATTTTTGTGATTCTTATGATTCTCAGGAGTAAACGAAGATCATTTCCATAAACAGCATTAACCATCTTATCTTTGTAATGGAGACAGGTTAAGACAGGGACTGAATTGAGCTTATGAGCTTTGACTTAAAAGGTTTATGGGCGAAATTGTGTGTTACAGATTTTGTAACCAAATCGTACTCAAATGTCTTCAGTCAACATGGTGTGGGACTACATTGTATTTGCCGTCTTCATTCTCGGCTGTTCAATGATAGCCATCTACAGTAAGTTTGCTGGCCCCAAAGAAAGAACGAAAGCTGATTATGTTTTCGCCACAGGAAGTGTCTCCATGGCCGCCATGATGATGTCCATAGCAAGAGGGACGCTTGGCGTTAGGTCATTTTTAGGTAAGTCCGTTTTGCACCTAACCCATTCATTTTCCTAAACTGAACTGAGATGTTACACAGGGTAAAAGTCTCGCAACTCATTACTGACAGATGTTCTACTTGTCAAAACTAAATTAGGCCTACATTTAAATCGAAAAACAGTGTTTTATGAAGTTCTGGAAATGTCCACGGGGTTCAACGACGAATACATTCACTATTTTCCTCATGTTTGATGGAACCAGGAGAAGAGTTTGTGTGTCGAGGAAACGGTTCACGGGATGAGATATTATCGATTTGTTTGGAACAGGAGAATCGGTAAATGTATCCCCAAATTCATTCCGCCAGGTTAAGTAAGAACGACATGCCAGGTAGTCATCGACAATGAACACTCGCTGAACTTGTGAAAAAGACATCCTCGCACTTCGACTGTCTGAAGACAACTGACGGATTGGCGTGAGCAGGTTACAGCATGTCTTGTCCTGAGTGAGCTCCGGCGTTGTCAAAGCATATTGCGTGTTTATTAATCCAGTCAAACAGCACTGAATTAGAACCATCAATACATATTTCAATATGGGTTGCGTGACTTTTCGATATTTCTATATTTTTCGTCGTGAAAGACCCCATTATTTAGCGTTAAATGACAGGATGACGGTTAAATGAGAACTTAAAAGTGATGTATATAGAAGCAGCTGTGACAAATATTGATGCACTTAGAACTGAGAAAATGTGGAATCTCATACGGCCACAAGACTGAGAATCAAATCTTTAATTCACTTGAATACAAAGCAAGATTGCACAAAGTATTGTCGATGTGGTTTAGTATCAACCCGGCCGCCATTTTTGGTGTTTGGTTGCAAGTTTGACCGGCATGCTACTCTCTAGTGTTCTCTCACACTTCCCGTGGAAAGTTATTCAACTTACTTGCGTATCTACTCGTGGGCACTGTCTTCTTAACAGAAAATAAAAGTAATTTTCCACAACCACTCCAGCCATTACTCGAACTATGACACAACACCGCTAAAAATATATAAATAAAGAAATGAGTATATAATTTCATGAAACAATGTACTTTTTGATAAATTCATGTAATCACGAATTTTTTTTTGCCTTATATTAGGCTATTTTAATCCAGTCCATACCTAAAATTAATATTATATTTATATTAGCCTCTCATCTATGCCCAAATGTTGCAAGTATTATCTGCTTGTGTATGTGTGTGGGGCATATCCATGCGTGCTTCATGACTCGCCCATCTTACCCTCAGTGACTCCACAACACTAATAATAACAATAATAAAGATCGAAATGTTGATGGAAATAAATTTTCTATCCCCAATGGCACATTTTTATTATAATTTACAACTGGCTATGTGAAAGTCAAATAGGGCACACTCCAGGTACGGTTTAATACGCATCCTAACACCTTGAGAAAACCTGAGTTTAGACGGAACCTGTCTTTAAAATGACTGGTTATGGGTTCGAGTCCGGCGTTCGATTTCTAACCAAGGCAGGGTTTTCTTTTTGTTAGTCTCCTTATTCAGACTGGATCTGGGATCCATTCAGCCTCCTATCTAATACGTACAGAGGTTTTTCCAGAGATGAAGTACCCGTATGAATGTGTGAACCTTCAGAGGCAGCCATGCCTTTAGCAGATATTTTCTCTTCTTGAGATATCCGAGATTAGACCATCTAGTCCGTTCTTTTTAAAAATTAATTCTGAAAGTATGTATCCTCAGACATTTGGTAGGAATCCTTAGACAGAGGTCACCCGTGCTGTGAGCGATATTCGAACCCAAGATCACAGTATTTGTGAGGTCCAACACCGTAAACACTTGGGACCTTGTGACTACTGTAATAAACTGTAATAATCAGTTATTATTGTTTTATTCATAAATAAATTTTGATAGAGGTAGATTGGAAGTAAAGCAGATATAGTTTAAGAGATACAAGGATACCAACGAAATATTGGACATATTTTTAAAATGGTGGGGGGGGGGAGACTGCCTTCCATAGTTAGCATTCATATGAACAGGCCTTAATTACATTAAACTACAAAGGTAATAATGATGATATGCATGTCTGCCTATGAAACGTGTTTAGTCGGTACCAGTAATTTATGTCTTCAAAACAGTTTTTGTGTTCAAAATGTTCTCCTCGATCTCTGGGCCGCGGTCATTTTAAAATTTCCCCGTCCATGCTGCCTTAGTCTAATCAGACGTGCTCTCTCTGCAGGTTACCCCTCGGAGTTATACTACCGCGGCAGCGCCATGTGGGAGACGCTGTACGGGATGATCTTGGCCTACCCAATCGTCATGTTCGTGTTTGTCCCTGTGTACTACAGCCTAGGCATTACTTCCGTCTACCAGGTAACAGATACTGCTTCAGTGTTTTTATTTATTTATTAATTCATTTATTTTAGAAGAATCTTCTTTCTTAGACTGAGCAGTGAGGAGATAGACGTACTGGTCTAAGTTGTGCTAAATTCAAACAACAGCGGATAATGCAGTTCTTAGCAATTTTGTCTACCTCACTGGCAACACTTTACTGCTGTTCCAAAGCATAATTTGACGTAATGTCTTGTCTGTCAGTCCCCATGTTTTATATCCGAAAATATTGAACTCATTTTGATTGACTTTTATTGGTAATCAGAATTAGTTCTACAAGCTAAAAGGTGTGGTTAATTTAGGTCCATGTCGGCCCATTATAATCCCTATGATACATCAAGTATTGATCCCATTAAGACGTACATTCCTTGTTTGGCACATTTTTCCGATACAGTTAGCCCTTTGAAGTCAAAGTTCGCCGAAATAATATTCAATAATACAGTCCGTACCGCAAATAAAATACTTCACCATTTCAACGAATCAACTGGTTAATGCTGTTCAGAGAAATAATCACTGTTTACAATGAGATTCATACGAAATTCATAATTAAAGAAAAGCTATGTAAGATTTGAGGTTTTCACAGCGGTGAGTATGAAGATTTCTGTCTTCTGGGTTGTTGCGCTGTGTAGTCTGGTCGATGTTAACCAACGCTTCAGAGGTCATACTGCCTCCGTCATCAGAGTATGAAGATTTCGGTCTTCTGGGTTGTTGCGCTGTGTAGTCTGGTCGATGTTAACCAACGCTTCAGAGGTCATACTGCCTCCGTCATCAGAGTATGAAGATTTCGGTCTTCTGGGTTGTTGCGCTGTGTAGTCTGGTCGATGTTAACCAACGCTTCAGAGGTCATACTGCCTCCGTCATCAGAGTATGAAGATTTCGGTCTTCTGGGTTGTTGCGCTGTGTAGTCTGGTCGATGTTAACCAACGCTTCAGAGGTCATACTGCCTCCGTCATCAGAGTATGAAGATTTCGGTCTTCTGGGTTGTTGCGCTGTGTAGTCTGGTCGATGTTAACCAACGCTTCAGAGGTCATACTGCCTCCGTCATCAGAGTATGAAGATTTCGGTCTTCTGGGTTGTTGCGCTGTGTAGTCTGGTCGATGTTAACCAACGCTTCAGAGGTCATACTGCCTCCGTCATCAGAGTATGAAGATTTCGGTCTTCTGGGTTGTTGCGCTGTGTAGTCTGGTCGATGTTAACCAACGCTTCAGAGGTCATACTGCCTCCGTCATCAGAGTATGAAGATTTCGGTCTTCTGGGTTGTTGCGCTGTGTAGTCTGGTCGATGTTAACCAACGCTTCAGAGGTCATACTGCCTCCGTCATCAGAGTATGAAGATTTCGGTCTTCTGGGTTGTTGCGCTGTGTAGTCTGGTCGATGTTAACCAACGCTTCAGAGGTCATACTGCCTCCGTCATCAGAGTATGAAGATTTCGGTCTTCTGGGTTGTTGCGCTGTGTAGTCTGGTCGATGTTAACCAACGCTTCAGAGGTCATACTGCCTCCGTCATCAGAGTATGAAGATTTCGGTCTTCTGGGTTGTTGCGCTGTGTAGTCTGGTCGATGTTAACCAACGCTTCAGAGGTCATACTGCCTCCGTCATCAGAGTATGAAGATTTCGGTCTTCTGGGTTGTTGCGCTGTGTAGTCTGGTCGATGTTAACCAACGCTTCAGAGGTCATACTGCCTCCGTCATCAGAGTATGAAGATTTCGGTCTTCTGGGTTGTTGCGCTGTGTAGTCTGGTCGATGTTAACCAACGCTTCAGAGGTCATACTGCCTCCGTCATCAGAGTATGAAGATTTCGGTCTTCTGGGTTGTTGCGCTGTGTAGTCTGGTCGATGTTAACCAACGCTTCAGAGGTCATACTGCCTCCGTCATCAGAGTATGAAGATTTCGGTCTTCTGGGTTGTTGCGCTGTGTAGTCTGGTCGATGTTTACCAACGTTTCATCGCCCTGATGACGGAGGCAGTATGACCTCCGAAACGTTGGTAAACATCGACCATACTACACGGCGCAACAACCCAGAAGACCGAAATCTTCATACTCTGATGACAGAGGCAGGATGACCTCTGAAACGTTGGTTAACATCGACCGGACTACACAGCGCAACAACCGAGAGGACAGAAATCTTTAAAGAAAAGCTGTTATTGATTTTAAATATGTGGTGCATAGAGTTACCGCTAGGCTTTATAAGGAAAAAACAGGCCAAGAAAACATACAAATAAATACTCCCTTACTTTAATGCGATTATAGCCACAGACTTTGAAGCGCAACGTTGCCACATGCGGGACCAGGGCAGCCAGGACCATGCTCTTCTCCCCAACAAATGGCATCGTTGCTCGTTCCATGTTGCCGAGTTCGTATACTAGCGAAGAAAGGGATCCTGAAAGTGAAAGGAAATTGAAAAGGCAATTGGGAGAAATTGAAGTTCGCACCAATAAATGTGTTATTCTGTTCAATGTTGTTTCTTAAGTTCAGATTTTTATTGTTTAATGCTGCCTCATGTTGTAGAATGTACTTTTCACGGTGCAGATCTGGCAACAAAGTGGAACCAGCCCAAGCTTAAGTTACTGTGGTCGTGGCTTTAGTTATAAGATTATTTGTACGTCTATCTAAAATACACACAAATTAATATTGAGGCAAATGAGATATCCTAAATCTAATTTCGTAAATACGTGTACCCAAAATCAGACAAAATTATTTTATTCTTGTTCATGTTATGTCTAGAATATAGAAAATTAAAATATTCTCACAGATTTCAGATCGCTTATAAATATCCCGGTGTTGTACATCAGTTTGTCGTTTCTTAAATTATGAATAGAACTAACTACTTGTAGAATGGTGGAGGGCCACGTAAGACCCGCGAGATTCCGAATGCTTACCATTTGCTTAAATGTTTGTAGAATTAACCAGTAAACATAACAAATTCACAACTCAAAATTAATCAAGGGTTGTATGTATTATCGGTAATCCTGAAATATGTTTATGTGTAAACTCGGTGTGTGCAGTACTTGGATCTGAGGTTCAAATCCCGTCTCGTGCGGTGCATCGCGTCCTTCACATACGTGGTGCGCAGTTTGTTGAATCTCGGAGTGACGGTTTTCACCCCGTGCGTCGCTCTCAAGACAGTCATCGGTCTCCCTTACTGGGCGTCAATCCTCAGCATCACCGTCATCAGCGTCATCTTCACCATCATGGTAAGATTTCCCTACTACGGTTTCGTGAATGAGAACTACCAATATTCGGTTACTTTTGCATGTGGGTTCTCAAGTTTGGATTTGTCTGCAATTCAACAGCCAGTTTTCTGTTCCATTTTCAGGGAGGCTTAAAGGCTGCCATCACAGCCGATGTGGTTCAGGGCTTCACAATGATTGCCTGCAGTCTTGCCATTATAATCTATGGCTGCATAGGTGTTGGTGGCTTTGGAGAAGTGGTCGACGTGTCCAGCGAACGAGGACGTCTTCAGTTCTTCAAGTAAGTAACCAGCAGGACACATTCAGAAACTTAAAACGAACTTGTTCTTAGCGACTGGAATGACCCTTGGTCTCCTCTCATGTAATGGCATCATAAACCCATATTAGTAAAAGCGGTTAAGACTCCTTAGATGGGAGATCAGACCATCGCGAAGCCTCTTCAATCGATTCAGCAGTTTCGTCTTGGTGTTACACCCAGTTTCAAGCTTTGGTCTCCTCTTCCGTGTAGGTTTCCTAACCTGTCATCTCCACACTGTCGCGTAAACGAAGAACAACTTGTGGGCTCGTCCACGTCTGCCTCGCGTTTAACACACGCTATAACAATGACCTTGAATTCTACTGTGACCTTTGATATCACTTGCATGCGTTGCTCCCTTGGTTGCCTTGTTGACGTCATTGATCTTGATGTGGCGTAAAGAACGATTTGGAATTTTAGTGTCCAATCCTGTTGTTAAGGAAGGCGGTAAGACGCTTTTGAAAGGGAGTCACCAGGATCAGTAACGTTCTGTTGCCCACTGAGCAAGATTTGAGTAAATTAAATTTGTTGAAATTTTCCGTCGCTCGTACGTCTGTATCAACAATTTATCCTGCCTCGATAATGACAAAGGCGTTATATCGATTTATTACAAGGTAAAAAGACGCTGTAAAGACGCAACCCAATTACACATCAAATGTCCAACACGGATTATCGGAAGGGAATAGAGAAGCAGATATCTGATCAAGACCACACGTGAAGAGAAAAATGCTGGCTGTATTACTTTATCTGAGATCATGTGAAGAGGAGAATGATGAAAAACATATACGAAGAAAGACGAAGGAAAATCGGACAGAAAGAAGAAATGGGCATATTACGATGGAAAATAAATGAAATAAAATGTGTGTAGACTATATGAAATTGATCAATCATCGTATAATTTCTCATACCATGTACCTGTAATTGACAATTATAAGTTGACCAATTAGCTTTTATTACACTTTGTCAACAATATTAATTGTATAATGGGCGTATGATGTTAATTATCAAAACGTGTCTAACCTGTACACAAGTTATGTTTTCTTGACAAAATGTAATTGGAGCTAAGTTGGTCAACTGTCAAATTCGCTAAGGAGTGCGATCTTCATAGTTAGAAATAGAAATTGGAAAATATGATTAGCAAACCAGCTAATGTAGAATTGTTGAGTTTTGAACTTCTGTGAAAACAACTTTTCAGGCTCGATTCTTTTGTTTCTCATTTTGAACAAATTCTGACTAAGCAAGTCGTGTTTCACGTGTAGCACTGAACATTTGTAGTGATGTGGACGCGGGTATTGCAAGAGGGGCTCAGCTCTGTGTAGTTAGAAATGTTGTAAACTGGTACCATCCATGATCGCAAGAGAAGTGGCAGACCGGGTATAAGCGATGAATGTGTGGAAAGAATCCGTGAATCGTTTGTACGAAGCCCCACAAAATCCACACGGCGAGCTTCGCGTGAATTGTTACTTCAACGTTCAACGGTACACAAAGTGATACATAAGAGGTTGAGGTTATGTCACCTCATTGGGGTCTGCAGGTACGCGCGTACCTAGACAGGACATTTCCAGGAAGATGGATCAGCAGAGACGGTCCAATGCCTTGGCCTCCACGTTCACCAGACATAACACCACTGGATTTCTTTTTCCTGTGGGGTTATGTCAAGAGCAATGTATTCCGAACACCAGTAAACGGACTTGATGACCTCAAGACCCGTATCAGGAATGCGATCTCGGCTATTCCAGCGGATATACTCCACAGAACATGGCAAGAGCTCGAATGTCGTCGCCCACATCGAGGTCTACTGAGGTCAGTAAAAAACTTCCAGAGTTTCACTGTAATCTGCCGCAAACCGCATGTGGCTAGCTCAATTTGTTTGCGCGCCACAATTTTTCAAAACCCCGAAGGTACTTTGTGGACACACTGTATAAAGAGTACTGGGACCCAACATTTAAATTTCAGTATACATCCTGATTTATTCTGCTATATTCTGTATAGGTTACGACTAATGAGAAAACAAAATTATTATTGATTTGGAATAAACGTGTACAAAGTTACGCAGTTGACGTTCAGTTCCAAGGTGTCATGTTCTGTTGTGATTAGACTGCTGCAAACGAGTTCAGGGATTACGTTATGTTGACTTACTTCCTTCGTCATCAGTCTGCTGTGAGATAGTTGTGCTTGTATTCTGTGAACTGGCTTACAGCAGATTGGTCATGTGATTAATAACAGCCAAAGAACGCAGTAGCCAAACCAGACTAGATTTCTTCACGGATCGTAGATTAACTGTCGTTGCTGTGATCCGTGGACCTCTATTCCCGCGAAATGTAAAGTGGTCTAATCACGAAAGTTGGCCATTCAGTTTAACGTAATGCCTTCTCCAATCCTTCAAAGCATAGTGCTTAGACTTAGAATCAAATTAAAACCAACCTTCTATGTTTTAATTGCAATATTTTCATTTGACTGATATGACTGTGTATGGCCAGTATATTCAGTGTTGGAAAATCTTGCTTGTCTATAAACATGTAGGCCTGTGACAAAAAATATCAAAATAAGAATACATTAAGTTCGAGGTTTTCATGGTGGTGAAAATGTAATCTGTGGCCTAATGGTTTCTGACATTTCGTATTGTAGAAGGTTATGAACATTTCAAAGGAATGTACTCTCATAATTTTCATTGTGTATTCCTAAAAAAAACATTGGTAAACACTGAGAAGAGTACACAGCATCACATTCCAGAAGACTACAATCCACAAGAATGAAACTTCTCAAATTCATATGTATATATCAATAAAGGGATCAAGGGTCTTAAAAAAAATTTAGCATCATACCGTTGAGTGAATTATAAGCCGATTAATAATTAGTCTGTTTTTCACCCACAGCTTTGACATGGACCCCACAATTCGTGTTACAACACTCTCTGCACTCTTTGGCCAGCTCTTTATGTCACTATCCATCTTTGGCTGTCAGCAAAATTTTGTCCAGCGATACTGCAGCATGGACTCACAACAAGCCGTCACCAAGTAAGCTGCATATTGAAATTTGTAACAGAACCTTCAGTTCAGTCTCCTGGTGTATATTTTGCCTACCCACTTATAAAACATATAGGTTACTGTCTTGGTTTTCCTGCTGTTAAAATAATCAATTATAAATACATCATATACCACCAGACTGAGATTGAGGTTAGGGTTTTAAAATAACAGATGTTCCTTTTAACAAAAATATGGACAATATCAATTAATAAAGTACAATTACTTTTCATTCAGTGTTAATATTTCTAATGTTTTCATTATTTCCATATTATGACTATAACACACAACTCCTTCGGCACTTACTGTCTAGCAGCTGAATGAAGTGTTCAACAAACCAATCAACCAATCACAACAGAACCCAAAAATTCAACACCACTAATACAAAAGTTACCACTGAGTATTATCTAAAGCCTGTTCAATCCAATTCACATCCTTTCAACCCATTTTCATAACATCCATCTTATCATCCTCCCATTTCCTTCCGTCACCAGAGTGACTGTTTTCCAAAAGATTTCCTCACCAAAATGATGAATCCATTTTTCTTTCCTTATCCGAACTATACATTCAGCACATCCACCTTCATCTGAGCTCCAATATAGTGAGTGCTGTTTCCTTCACAGAACTCTGATGGCAAACATCCCAGTGATTACAGTGCTGTTCAGCTTGTCTTGGGTTGCTGGAATGGTGATCTTTGCAAGCTATGCTGATTGTGATCCATTGAGTTTAGGTTACATCAGCAAGATTGACGAGATTGTTCCCTTCTATGTTGAAGACAAATTTGTGTTCCTTCCTGGACTCCTCGGTCTCTTTATGGCCAGTCTATTCAATGGAGCACTCAGGTATGTATTATACTTTGCAACAAGAGTGCAAGATTTTAGGTTTTCTAGCTTTCTGTGCCATGTAGTCTTCTGAAGAAGTAGGATAATATGTTCCTCCAAAATTATGGTATACAACCGTAAACCTACTGGTGAAGACTCTTCAGGTTACGAGCCACGCCAGGTGGCTGAATGGTGAATAAACCGTATCTTCTGATAACATTTCAAGAGCAATCTCTGCTCTCATCCTCAGGGCTGCAGCGTAACAAATCGGGTCATTTGTAGCGCAGTCACCGCTAAAATTATATATTCAAATGTATCTGAAATAAATTATGACACAGTAATCAAGTGGCAACAGAGCCATAATATGTAACTGTGAAAGATATTGCAGTTTGTCTCATTGTAAAATACATCTCTCTTTCCTTTTGGTTGATATTCGTGCAGTATGCTCAGGGTCTAGGAACTTTCCATTCTTTCTGTATGTCATTTGATATTCTCTTATTCCTGTACTGAACTATTTTCAATTCCCTTTCTACATCTGCACTGTACTCACCATCAGGCACCTGGTAGTGTCCTGTCATTGTTATCGGAAAACACGTCTCTGCTGCTTCTGTTGTGACCTGATTTCTGGAAAACTTGTTCAGACTTGTACTCAGATATACCATGAAATCATAGCATTTTGAAAATGTCAGAATGATGTTTTAAATGTTTTGTTTCTTTTTGTTTGCAGCCTTGCTGTCTCTAACCTTAACTCTCTTGCAACAGTTACATGGGAAGATTTCATCAGTCAGATTCCTCAGTTTAAAAGTTTCACGGACAAGAGGCAGCTGTTTATAATTAAGTTCATTGGTAAGTCTTTCTCGTTTTATCTTCAGGGTTCAAAAGGAACCAGACTCCCTCCTTCAGGACAATTACAGAATGAAGTATGATTATGGGTATTTTGGCAAAAATGTGGGAGGAAGCAGTTGTGTTGTGTCATAAGGTATCATCCTGGAAGACCTAGGGAAAATAGTCAAGAACCTGAGTCAGGATAGCTGTGACTGGAACCAGGAATCTTCCAGACATCAATCAAAAGAACATGGTGACTGCATGAATATTTTTAGTTGTAACAGATGATTATTATGGATTTCTGTCTTCTGGGTTGTTGCGCTGTGTAGTCTGGTCGATGTTAACCAACGTTTCAGAGGTCATACTGCCTCCATCATCAGGGCGATGAGTATGAAGATTTCTGTCTTCTGGGTTGTTGCACTGTGTAGTCTGGTCGATGTTAACCAACGTTTCAGAGGTCATATTCATCGCCCTGATGACAGAGGCAGTATGACCTCTGAAACGTTGGTTAACATCGACCAGACTACACAGCGCAACAACCCAGAAGACAGAATTCTTCATACTCACCGCTGTGAAACCTCAAATCCTACAGATGATTATTATGATTTATGTTAAATTTTCATGGTGGCATGTTATAATCAAATCTAGTATTATACTAAGAGTATTAAAAACTATAAGGTTTAATCTCACAGGAACCATCCGATCCAGTAATTGAAGACAAGGTCTTTATTTCAGGTGCTTTATATGGGATCCTTATCATGGGCATTTCATTTGGAGTGGCCACTCTTTCTGGTGTAATTGAGTCGTCCATGCTTATGACATCGGCCACAAGTGGACCACTGCTCGGGGTCTTCCTGCTGGCAATGCTGTTTCCTTGTGTTAACTGGAAGGTAACTTATAACAGACTGTGCGAATGGTTCCCAAACACTGTCATTCCTGGAATACTTTTCTTGAGAAAATTCCTGTCTGATTATCTCACTTGTATATGTCTCCATGTACATGTTATTTAAAATATAGCTCTAACATATGTTGACATTTGACAATTTTTTCATTTTAAAATGAGTAAATCTAGCTACAAAAGCAGTAAAACTTGAGTTTCTTGTATTTTGTTAAATGCACAGCATATTTAAAAATATACTGTATAGATCTTTGATATCAACAGAGTTCCCTTGATCATGAGACAACCCACCCTGGTGGAAACGTCAGTGTATTATGACGTAGGCAGAACCTGTAAATAATAAGCTTCAAATTTTGTTGCAGGGGGCAGTAAGTGGGATGATGGTCAGTCACATAGTAACTCTCTGGATCACATTTGGGAGTCTGACTGTCGACAAGCCTCCAGTTCAGCTTCTGCCCTTGTCTACAGCTGGGTGTAATAATGACTCTTATAGCCATGTAGTTTCCTGCTGAAATTGTGGTACCAGATTCTAAGTATCACTTTGAATGGGCCAATCACAGTAATTCAGAGGAACCTTTGTATAATTACAGTACATTCAAAAATATTTCTTCTGATATGGAGGAAGCAGTACCTACTAACAAAGGACCTGAGTAAGTATTGAAGGAAGGCTGTATGTACATTCTAAAAATCTTACAAGTTTTGCCACACAAATGGTTCCAGGTATGTAACACAGGTTCTAAGAGTTTGGAGATATGAGAGCATCAACCCTTGCATGTCCAATTAGGATCAAATGTGATGCAAGAAAAATAATTTACAAACATTATTTATGTTCACCTGGCCATGTTTCTAGCTGCCTATTTTATCGTGTCTCAACTAAGTTAGCATAGTAAAAACATCGTCTGAATAACATTACAAAAGTAGTTTCATTGCGGGATCACATTGGACCCAATTTGTCTGTTTCTTGGATTTTATTGAATGTGGGAAGGGGGAAAAAAAACAACAAACAAACATGAACTGCAAAGCCCAAACAATCGGTTACTGTATAGCATAGAGCTTCAGTAACTTCATGATAGTAAATTCTTTTCCTGATGAGACAAGACTTCCTTCATTACAAATAATTAATTTTTATACCAAGCAACACAAGTGAATTAAATAAAGACACACAAGACAATGTGTCATATTAATATATGTGATATTTAACTTTGAGTGTTAATAAGAACATGAGTTTAAAAATTGACTTCATTTGGCATTCTGTGTAATTAAAACTGTTTGGGATCTACAATTTAATGTCATAACTGTCTAAATTCTACGTTACTATCATTAGTAACCCTTCTATTATAATTCTGTGGATGTTCCATGTGAGGAAAAGTATTATACTGTTTTTCACTGCATAAGCGTGGAGTACTTAACTGTTTAGTTTACAAAATGTATTCTTTACAGGAATGGCCTAATACAGCTGTATTCCATAACATACATGTACTACTCACTGATTGGCTGTGGAATTACAGTTCTTTTGGGAATCGTAGTCAGCTACATCACTGGTAGGTGTGAACAGTTATTTACATAAATATTATGAAATTAATGATTAAGCATGTCCCATCATAGTGCAATGGTAACATCTGAACCACTTGTCTCACTGTTAAAAATGTACGAAATTATTAAGGTGATTAAAAAATGAAATATGGTATAGGTGTTGTAACATGCATAGAGTAAATGTGATTGAATCCCTAATTTTGGTCAAAGAGCCTTGGGATGAGATTGCTTGGGAGAACTATGTGTAACTGGGAAGATCATGTTAAAGTATGTGATGAAGAAATTGTACTTCAATTAAATAAAATCCCCATTAGGAATACAACCTATTGTTGGACACATGCCCCAGCCTACCCATTAGCTACCTAACTAGCCAAACTAATAAAATAATGAAGATTGCTGTCTTCTGGGTTATTGTGCCCTGATGACGGAGGCAGTATGACCTCTGAAATGTTAGTGGAAATCTACCAGACTACACAGCGCAACAACCCAGGAGACGGAAATCTTCATACTCTGATGACGGAGGCAGTATGACCTCTGAAATGTTAGTGGAAATCTACCAGACTACACAGCGCAACAACCCAGGAGACGGAAATCTTCATACTCTGATGACGGAGGCAGTATGACCTCTGAAATGTTAGTGGAAATCTACCAGACTACACAGCGCAACAACCCAGGAGACGGAAATCTTCATACTCTGATGACGGAGGCAGTATGACCTCTGAAATGTTAGTGGAAATCTACCAGACTACACAGCGCAACAACCCAGGAGACGGAAATCTTCATACTCTGATGACGGAGGCAGTATGACCTCTGAAATGTTAGTGGAAATCTACCAGACTACACAGCGCAATAACCCAGAAGACAGCAATCTTCAGACTCACCACTGTAGAAACCTCAAATCCTACATAATAAAATAATATATATGCCTCATTTAATTTCAATACTTCAAAAGACAAATATCAAACAAAACAGTAGAACTTGTTCTTTTAACATTTATAACACGTATACAAATATCCCCATAAAAAAATTATATCACCCAGAATGAATGTAATTATATGTGATGAAGGCTTGGACTGAACTGGCTCACAATAGTATCAAGTGGTGGCAATTTGTAACACATGGTAATAAAACTTCAGACAACACAAAAGCAGGAAATTTATTGGCCATCTGAAGTTTTAGTCAGTTTAGTTTACAGAACTTATTATCCATGTTTCAGGAACCTCACCAGAAGATGCCTATGATGAAAAACTAATTCATCCTCTAGCACTGAAGATCAGTTTGTTGTTTCCTGGACGACCTCGCAGATATGTTCAAGATAAGACAACAAGCCCAGATAAATTCAATAATAGCAGTTCTGAAGTCCTCCAGACAAGAGATGAAGAGAGACCATGTGATTTTTCAAAAGAACCCAGATATAGAGCAACTGAATTTACTACAGCAAATGGAAAGAGCCCCATATGACACCATTTGTTACACTCAACAAATGTTTTGTTGAGAATGTGTAAACCACATATTGTAAAAACAGTCTTGGTTGTCTCTGGCAATCGGTGACTCAATTTACATCTTCCATAATGGAAGGAACCCAGTACTTAGGGCAGCTTCTATTGTTTTGCCTGGGTATATTGTACAAATGATGGCAAGGACAAGTGGACTATCAAAAGATGGAGTTACAGGAATAGTCATAGGGCCATACAGAAGTTCCAATAACAACCGTTAATATCAAGACTTTAGTTTGTGGAACCAAAGATGCAAATTGTAGCAAACAAGTTACAGACCTTGTTCAAATTCAAACTGTGAATAACAACTGCCATACAAATACATGTTTCTTAATAGTGGTGATATATTTATTACAATTTTAAAACTATTTTGATATGCTTTTATATAAGTATCAGCATTGTGAGGATAAGTATTTTACATGCAGTGACCAAACTCCATATTGTTTGCTGATCAGTGAATAAGTGTAAAGTCAGCAACAGGAACTATTATAATTAAGAAGCCACCTTGTCATGGTGCTGATTTCGCATCTGATATGGCCACAGGACTAAAGTTTCATATTAAATGAACAACATTTCTACATCACAATCTTCCTAACATGTGAATATATGAGAATGTATGCTACTAGAGCATTCAATGTTATGTATTAGTGACATTTCTTTCTAACACAACTTAAAGATTAGCACTAATGTGCCATTTTTGTTGTCAAGATCTTAGTACATTGTTAATGAGGCTGAAAAATTATGTTTAAATCAAACACTTAACTTAGAAATTGAACTTCTATAATTTAACACAAAATATGTTTTCATATATCTGTAGCGTATATGAGTGAGTTAATATTTTTTAACCATTACATGTAATGGACAAATATGTCAGTGTTAATAGAACAACAGTCACTCTACAACCTTATTCTTATCGACTCATGACTCAGATGAATCTTTGTCCAACACAAGCATAGTCCATTTAATACAGCATATTACCAGTTGGCCACTTCAAACTGAATTTTCAAATCTTGAAACAAAGTACATGAAGAATGACATTTGAGTCACAAAGTTCCATACAAGAGGAAAAACAATATAAGATAATTTATTTATTAAGTTTTGTTATAAATCATGTGGTAATAGCTTCAGTCATTTACTCCTCAGTTCTCTGTATTGTTTCCAAAATCTCTATCTTTTGAACCTGTTTTATCAGCAATATGTTTTAGATAGTGCTGAATACAAAGATGACAAAGCAAACTTAATAGTAAACAAGGGAAAGTAATGGCTGGTTGTTTCATAACAATTTTCAAAGGAAACCCAGGCACAAAAAATATTAATTTTATAGGAGAAACTATATTCAGGGATTCTTAACAATAATATGTATTCCATTTTATAGCAATAATTATTTGATGTTTGGATGGTTACTGTATATTAAATTGTGATACAGAATGTGACTGTTGAATAAATAATTTTAGTGACTAGCCAGTCCCACTGTTTATATATTTATAAATAATTTTAGTGACTAGCCAGTCCCAGTGTTTATATATTACCTCATAAGTAAAGAAGGCCCTGCTTAATATGGCAGAGTGGTTAGATCACCTCTTTCATGTTTGGGAGGTTCCAGGTCCCACATTTCAAGCATAGGGACATGATTCAATAATGATGCAATCTCTCATGAACAAAAAGTCTGAGTGTAAAATGACTGTCCCTCAAAATTCTGCATATCATAATAATTTTAAAACCAATTTTAAAAGCATAGACAATGCAGACTGATGAGAGATGGCAAAAATTATCTTGCCTTTACAGAAAAAATAATTATCTCACCAACATAATTTTCTCACATTTGAATAAAAATTTTCTTGGATATTATCCATCGTTTAGTAAAATATAAAACGTAAAACGACGTTTTGGAGATGGGGCTCTATCTCCGTCTTCAGGTTCCTACTCAGTTGGGCCCACTAGATAGAGCTAATCCCTATCTCAAAATGACTTCACCATCGTCAAGAAGTTTTAGATTTGATATAATTTTCTCACAGTTCTACCATGATAACATTATTATTCTCTGTTCTCCTTTTGTATCTATTAACACACTTTGTCAATTTCTTTTGTGTACCTTACCTCACTTTGTTTCAACTTCTTGTCCTTGGTCCCCTCCATGGAATAGTTCTCAAGATGATTCCTCTAAAAAGTACATGTTCTCTGTTACTAAATGTGTATATATATGCTATAAACGAACATCCAAGTTTAGCAAAGAATGGAAATGCATGTTTGAAAATTACAGGTAATTTACTGCATTTTTTGTTCCTGTAGAACATGTTAAATGTATACTTTAATAAGACTACAATGGTAGTGGTTTATTTTTACATAATGTCCATAAATGTGTATAGTTGCAAAATATGTGGTAAAGTGATAAACTAACATGAACAGTGGTTTCACATGTTTCAGCTCTAAACTGGAATGTGACATGGTAGAACCATTAGGTTTCTCTAATGTTCACTGAAAGAAATTATATTCTGGATTTGGTAGAATGTAAAAATGTGACAAGAAAAGTTTGTACGATTAAAAAAATAAACATAAAAGTCTTTAAGTCGTGTTTGTCGGGTTTTTGTACTTTGTCCAAGGATCCGATTTTCGAAACGTCGTATACATTTTAACCTTGGACGATGAACAAAGTCCAAAAACCCAATAAACCCGACTATATCATACAATCGTCACAAACCCACGGAACCAAATGAAAAAGTTTCGTCCAATGCCGCCAAACACAAAACCACTGTGGCGGCGGAGGTAATAATCACGGAAAACCATATAGAAATAAGATTTTGTCTAGCAAGTTAAGCTACGAACAGTCTGAAGTGTAAATACTACCTAAACAATGTTTGGGATTTTGATAAATATTTGTTGAAAGTTCCACGCGCAAAAATAATAGGAGCACCTATTCAACAAACCTTAAATACCGTGCCACCTACTGGTACCAATTGCGAAACAGTTTCACCATATTATGTTCTTTAGTTATCTGTGGTGTTAGCCCCCCCCCTCCCCACTATACATGCTCTGATCTAACCTGTGATTACTGTATGGTGCAGAGAAAACTAGCATTGAGAGTAAGTAAGTAAGTGATTCGAGTGTGGTAAATGTGACGAAATTTTTGGTTTTTGGAGAGTAGAAAGGAATCAGACTTTTTTACTACCTGCACATATATTAAAAATGGTTGTTATAAACATTTCACAGAAGACGGAATTTGAAGATACTATAAGGTTTGTAAATTATCACTTCTTAATATATAAAACTAAGTAGCTAGCACATTCATTTCATTTGGTTTATTCCATTTGCAGTTCAAGTGACCTAGTTGTTGTGCACTTTTATGCCGATTGGGCTACACAATGTGGTCCCATGAATGATGTACTTGAAGAACTAGCCAAACAAGCAGAACTGAAGGTAAGTTAAATCAACAGCAAAAAAATTATTAGATTAATTGAAAATATGTGTTGTCTCTATTTTAACTACTTTTTGAAAATGTTGTTTTTATATTACTCAGTTGTAAGTGTAATATTACCAAGAATGTACAACATTTCATATACCAAGTTTTGTGGGTTTTCGACTGTGTAACACGAAGCTGTAAAAAGAAGAAAAGTGATGAGTCTTTACATCAGAATTATGTCAACAGAAACACAGGAAAACAGACTTCACAAAAGTATTCCCTGTAGTTAAGAATGTAACAACTGTTACTTTACTTTGTTCTTATAAGACACTGATGTAAAAAATATGTTTTTAATATTTACCACATTGAGAAATGTGTCACATTTCACAAATAATAATTAGTTCTTCTGATTAGTTGTTTACTGGTGCTTTGTTTCAGGGTGTCAAGTTTGTAAAGTGTCCAGCTGAAGACTTGCCAGAAGTTTCCTTGAGGTACTCTGTTTCTGCTGTTCCAACATTTCTCTTGCTACGTGGGGGCTCACTATTAGACAGAGTAGATGGAGCCAATGCAGCTGAACTTACAAAGAAAATTAATTTACAGGTCATCAGATTATTTTCTTCTTACATAGTGTATTACACATACTGCATGCATAGTGCTTTCTTTGAGACCAGTCTAAATTAGCTTGAAATAAAGGACTGTAATTAATTCTTATGCAAACACTTCTATTGTAAGTGAAGTTAAATATGTTGGTTAGCTGTGTGTTAGTCAGTATTTATCCCATTTTCAGAATATGAACATCAGTGCATTATACCCCTAAAGCATAAGGCATATGCAGACAATATTCATTCAGATATTTGTATCTTACAATCCTTATTGAAATGTGAATTCATATTACTGACATTGCCTTTATAATGTCTTATATCCAGTAACCAATCAGGTTTCCTGGACTGTGTATACTATAAATGTTTTGACCAAAATTGTATTGATACAGTGGTTGTAGAAATGCATAATAAATAGTAATTTTCTGGTTTTAGATCAGAGCACTTTGACACAATTTTACTGAACTGGTCTTTATGAACATTTCTTGTGTATGTGTTTTGAAGATAATTTTTCAGATAATTACAAAATATTAAATAACTCCACATGCCCAAATATTGTCAATAGTTGCAGAATAGCAACACTTTATGATATTTTTGTTTGCTCTCATTAAATTAACATCTGGTAATTTTTACCATTTTGCAATAGCTGGAGAACACAGAAATTCCTCCAGAACACTGAATAATTTTTACCACTTCGGCATGATGAAATGAATTGCCATGAGAACATCAGGTGTCATGTTAAAGATGTGTTTCATTTGTACAGGTATCCAAAGGTTCAAATACTACATCGGCCAAACCTGCTGCTGAAGATTTGACAACACGTCTGCACAGACTTATCAATTCAGCCCCTGTTATGTTATTCATGAAAGGAACATCAACAGAACCAAGATGTGGGTTTAGTAAATCAATGGTTTCCCTCTTAGACAGCCATGGAGCTCTGTACAAAACATTTGATATTTTGAGTAATGAAGAAGTGAGGCAGGGATTAAAGACATACTCAAAGTGGCCAACATACCCCCAGGTAAATCAAACTTCTTTGTTCTTGAATATTGATGTAATTTAATAAATGCAGAGACTACTATCATTGAAAGATATCTTCATGCTGAGTTCTTACAATGTCATGTGTAAAATTCTTTGATAAATAATAAGAAATATGTTCAGAATTGTTTACCAATATTGTTATACATTCTTTGCATACACTGTGTATTTAATGTATAAGGGTAAAAAAATATACTCTGTCATTTTTCTCACAAATGGCTCAGCATACAATTATTATTTCATATATAAAACAAAATATAGGATAAATTAAGATCTATAATTTCTATTTTAAACATTTTTACTATGGTTTATGTGCAAGAAAATAAAAGGAAAAGTTACTTAAGACTTTGCAGTATTGTTATATAACAAAATACCTTACCAAATATGTAACAAGATAGTTTTCCACCAATAGATTTGTATCTGCAATAAATGAACATGAAGATCAGTGCAGTATACAAATTTTAAAAGAATGCATTAGGAAAGTATATTTATACCTCGGAAGGCACAACTTACCAAACTGATTTGATTACATATGAATATTCTAGCTTCACTGAAAACACTTGTCCTCAGCCTCCATTGTCATCATTTATATTGTCTCCAGCTTTACATCAATGGTGAACTCATTGGAGGTCTGGATATTGTGAAAGAAATGAATGAAAGTGGTGAACTACAGGAACTGCTGCCAAAGAAGGAAACTTTGGAAATGAGGTAACTCATAGGACAGATATTGATATGTGGTTTCATAAATAATAGTCACATTCTTAGTAATGCTTTGCTTTCTTCATCTTTCAGGCTGAAATCATTAATAAACCAAAGTGACTGTGTGGTGTTTATGAAAGGATCTCGGGAAGCACCACAGTGTGGCTTCAGTAAGCAGCTGATGGCAATTCTAGCAGAGACTGAGTAAGTAAGAGACTGTAATTGTGGTGGGATCATTTGATTAAATACAAATGGCTGACAGGAAACACTAACCATACAAGAATGTTTTGTGTTTCATCATCTGCAGCTTGTAATCAGAACATTCAGTTTTAAGGTCAAACTTGATTCATCATTATGCCAAATTCTTTAGTTACAACTTGGGATTTCTGTTATTCTAAGCACAAAGTACAGGTAGCCCTCGATTTGCGCTGTTTCAGAATAACGCCGGTTTTGAAACTAGAAAGTCAAAAAGTGACAGAAATATATTTTACTATTATTTATAACGTTTTACAATGTTTCTCGTACAGCTTCTTATACTAAATCGTAATTCTTACATCGCTGATTTTGAATAAAAATTATAAATACAGTCATCTCTGCAATTACGTATGTTTCGTTTACGCGAATTTGCTCCGAGATTGATGAATCGGTAAAAGCTGTTTGTGAAATGCAAACTTTTGCATATGCAAGTTTGCTCTTATGCAATGTCATTCCTGGCGCTTTAAACTTTCAGAGGACTAATTTAATCTCTGCGGAGGTACCGGGGTTATTTTTACTACGCAATTTTCTATAGGTCGGCGTCTTATGTGAATGCAACTATCGCATAACAGCAGAGATGACTGTACACATCAATCACATGAAAGAATTGCAGTCAATCGCGGGGACCAACGAATTGCCGATTCTAAGTGTATAAAATATATTTTTTAAATTCCCTTTATTTTATTTACGTTATTTCAGAGCTTTAAATGTAATGCCATTATATTACTCGTCAATGGTTGGGTGCTGGGAACGCATGTCATTGACTTCCCATTGATTTACATTATAAAAGAGTTCCAGTTTACACCGGTTCATCCAGGAACACATCCCTGGCATAAATCGAGGGCTACCTGTATAAGTAACGTACAATATTAGTTTTTGTAACATATTGTGGACCAATGTTGCATCCAGTACAAGCCGTTGTGATGCAAGTGCTCATTGCATTTGGACATGCATCTTGTGTCTGTATGGTAGAGTCAAGAAATTGTGAACTTTTTCAATAGCTGCCAAACAATGTGTGAATCTTCATGTTTGACCACATGCAGACATGTAAAGAGGGAATAGGCTGTGTTCATTTTTGGTGTGTACAGAGAGCATGAAAGGCACAAGCATATCTGATTTGGTGACTTATTTTCATAACTTGCTGTACCAGGATGTTGTAATTTATGAAGCAGGTGAATATTAAGTTTAGTGTATGATTGAGCAAGACATTCTCACAAACTTATGACATAATCAAGGAGGATAAAGCCATGTGCCACACTATAGTTCACAAATAATGTATAAGCTTCAAGGAAGATGGCTGTCTTTTGGGTTGCTGCACCATGTGGTCTGGTAGAAGTTTACCCAACATTTCATCCATCCAAAGTCTCACTTTAAGTCACAATAAAAACCTGTTCATCCAGGTCTGTATTATTGCGTGAAGTTTGACAGGAAGTTGTGTGCAAGTATATTTTTACATGATTTTACAGAAACAGAATTATAAATTTTTAATTTATGGAACTCTTATTTGTGTTGATAAATGTACGAGTGTGCTGAAGTTTATTGTAATGGAATGTCACCATTACATTTCAGAGTGGGGCATTCATTTTGGGCAGCACATAAGTGGCTGGTGTGTTTTGTTTTGTTCCGGAGAGTAATTATCAAGTTAAAAAATGCACTGTATTACTAAATATGTTTGTCATTTATCATATCTGTAAATTCTTAACAGTAACCTAAGACTCATTTCTTGTTTCTAGCATCAAGTTTGTTACATTTGACATACTTACTGATGAAGAAGTGCGTCAAGGCCTGAAGACTTTCTCCAATTGGCCAACATACCCTCAAGTATATGTTAAAGGAGAACTCATTGGTGGATTAGACATTATCAAGGAGTTGAAAGAAAGTGGCGAGTTGCTCAGTACTTTAAAAGGACAGTCATAATTGTTCTTTGAACATAACAATGAATAGTTACTACAGTGAATGGGTGTAGATTAATTAAAATACAATATTAATCTTTTCTGGTATTAGAAGAAATGTTATGGTCAAAAACTTAAGTTTGTAATCCATTTCATGCCTGCTTTCCATAATGCATAATGAAAGAATTATGAATATTCATGAAACTTGGTATAAAAGTTATGGCATCACACATTTGTAATTTTTAATTCAATATAATTACAATACCAGTATATCACCATTGCAATACTTTGATGTGGGAGTGACAGCGCTATTTCATGTAGGGAACTTAAATTTTGTCTGTATTTAGCATTCTGCTTGGTAGGAAGAACTAATGAACCATTGCATCTGAACGTTAATATATAAATAATAATAATAAATAGAGTGTAAAACTTGCTTAACCTCTCAAGCAGGTTTGCTGTATGGAGTACGCGACGCAATAATCTTACGCTCAGGCGGTTTGCCGTACAGAGTACGCATGATGCGCTATCATGTTCAGAATAGCATATATCTGCCATCTGTTGACCAGTCTTTTAAACTATTCACTCAGGTAAACAGCTAAAATCTCAGGCTATGTGGGTGAATGACTTTGGTTTCATAGCTGTAAATTTAAGGCAGGAAAAGGGCCGAGAAAAAAGGGACGAATTCCAAGTAGGTATAGTAACAAACCAGTACATATTGAGAGGGCACCATGGCCAGTTCAAAGTATTATAGGCGTTCTATTTCTGGTGGTGCAATTTCGGGGTTGTTAGAAGTTAAGGAATCTGTGAGTGATTTGTCTGGTGAAAGTGAAGACAGTGAACCTGATTTTACTGCAATCGATGAGAGCATAACTCTATGGAAGGGGAGATTGTCTTTCAGAATCTATCTGCCACTAAAGCCATCTAAATTCGGAATAAAAACATTCAATCTCTGTGAATCTAGCACAGGCTACTTGTTGAAATTTGTGGTATATTCTGGCAGTGAGACAGACTTACAAACTTCAATAGATTGCGGAGAAAACAACAAAACTTCATCCATTGTTGTGAAGCTGATGGAGGATTTGTTGAATAAAGGGCACACATCATGGATGGACAATTATTATAACTCACCAGATCTTGCGGCATTTCTCAAGAAGCAAGGGACAAATGTAGCAGTGACATTGCGGCTAAACAGGACAAATGTACCAACCACTGTAAAATGTGCTAAACTGAAGAAAGGGGAAACCATTGCACAACAGTCAGATGGCATAATGGTTATGAAGTGGAAGGATAAGGAAGATGTGACAATTAATTCAACCTTCCATGACGCTTCAGTGATGACAGAACAGGAAGGTGGTGTTGAAATAAAGAAACCTGTCTGTGTCACAGAATACATTAAGGCATTTGGGGGGGTGGGTGGATCTAAAAGATCAGAAATTACAAACATATCTTCTGGAGAGGAAGAGAGGGTCTAAGTGGTACATGAAATTGTTTGGGAGGCTTTTGAATGTGGTGGTATACAACGCTCATCAAAATAATACCATGGACCACTTGACCTTCAGGATGCAACTAATCACCTCTCTGATTGAAAGATATGGAAGGGCAGTGCACTCTCGTAAACAAGGAAGACCTTCCATAAATCCTTCCCCTGCAGTCTCACTGAAAGACATTTCATTGAAAAAATACTGCCAACAGGAAGGAAGGCAAAGCCACAAAAAAGATGTGTTCTGTGTCAGAAGAATAGGAAAAGGAGGGAAACAGTTTATTGGTACCCAGACTGTCAAACAGGATTGTGTTTAGATACCTGCTTCAAGGTTTTTCACACCGTGGAGAACTTCTGAGTTTCACTCGTTGACAGTGGTAAGTCTACACATAAAAATACATTTCTTACTGATTGTTATAACCATGAACACAGTAGGAGACAGTATTGAAATTTTCAGAATGGTGGAATTAATAGTATATTCAGAAGAAGCAATTATGTAAGAAGTAGCATTTTAAAGATCCAGGCGGATTTTAAATACCAGAGCTGCGTTACCTCGCAGTAGGAATGGTGGGTTTTAAATAGACGGCTTGAGGGGTTAAAATGGAATCACAAGGAACCTGAACATATTTGATGGTGGCAAGCTTAGCAGAACCTGCCATATTTATCCAGATGGTTCACTGGCAGGAAAAACATTAATGAAAGTGTACAACTTTTTCATTTATTAATTTTTCCATCTCAGACTTGTATACAGCATATTTAACATGTAACTTATACTAAACCAAAATGTTATCTTGATAATGAAGCTACATACTTGCTTTTGTCCTGGGGCATTCCAGAAATGCTGCATGGGTTTCTTTAGCCTTCTGAATTGCTATCAGAATATTTTGCATTGTCCATTCATTTGAGTCCAACATGTCTTGCTCTGTAAATGGGCCTTGCTGGTATCTGTGAAGTTCTCTGACATGGGCACAGCTTCCTAGTGCTGAAATATACATTTTACATGTTCATGCCATACAAGTCAAAAATATTTCAGTATACTTTTCTGAAACTTTGATAACAGTGATTCTCTGGTTTCATGACACAGATTCAACCGCAGAAGTTATATATTATGTGCTCAGTAAGAAGGGCAGTGTCAATACAAATTATGTTTTACCAAAGACATGGTGTCAATGAAATGTGTAGTGATCATGAAAAGTGAGTACATAAGTATTTAGAAGGATATGATCATATATTTTAAAATACTTTCAGTACATTCATGTATTCACAGTTAGAATTTGTAATACATGCATGTACACACTGGTTTATAATCAGTAGTTTTGATTACATACAGGTACATGTTTATGGCCATGTATAGTTTTGTACCTCCTTTCTGAGGTGAAATTTTGTGGTGTGCCATCATATGTCTTTGACAAATTAGGGTATACCACTGGTAAAAAAAACCCAGCAGAACAATGATTTAGAGAGAGTGAGAATGCCACAAGTAACTATCAGGATAGCTGGTAACCTGGTTGCAAATTGAACTGGTTGTTTCCTATATATAAATATAGAATGTTACTGCTACAGTACCATCCTGCTTAATTCATCTTTGTGAAAATACTTTGTTTCTAATGTCGTGTTAGATAATATTTTCTGCATAATTTTAACACGGAGGGAAATCTTCAGAATAGCCGTTTAGATGACCGCGGTTAGAAAAGAGGCCTCTCCCGAATACAATTAAAAATTGTGACATTTTTTACGAGGGTCGCTCATTAAGTAATGCCCCACATTTTTTTTCTCAGCCAATACTGAAGATAGAAAAGTGTACTTTTACATGCTTGAGATTTGATGTTTCCCGCGTTCGTGTACGGAGTTTCAAATGATTCCAACCGATAGCGGAGCTGTAGTGAACTGTTAAAATGGCGTCTGTGAACGACTCTCGTTACAAGCAACGAGCTGTAATTGAATTCCTTGTTGCTGAAAAAGAAACGGTGGTGAACATTCATAAACGTTTGTGTGCTGTGTATGGAAGCTGTGCAGTCGATAGGAGCACCGTTGGTCGCTGGGCTAAGAGAGTTAAAGCTTCAGGAGGTGAAGAAACCGAGCTCCGTGATCTGCCGCGCTCTGGGCGTCCTGCCACAGCCACCACTCCAGACATGTTGAACCGCGCGGATGCCATTATTCGTGAGGATCGGCGCATCACAACTCGACAATTGGCCCAACAGCTTTCAGTCAGCAATGGAAGTGTGATTGCAATTATCCGGGCTCTTGCATATTCGAAGGTGTGCGCAAGATGGGTTCCACGAAGTCTCACAGCAGACCACAGGATTCAAAGGAAAACGATTTCTTCTGAATTGTTGGAGCGTTTTGATGCTGAGGGAGAGGTCTTTCTGTCCCGGATCATTACAGGTGACGAAACCTGGATACACCACTTTGAGCCAGAGACAAAAAGGCAGTCAATGGAGTGGCATCATCCTCAATCACCGAGAAAGAAGAAATTCAAGTCAACTCCCTCCGCCGGAAAAGTCATGATGACTGTCTTTTGGGACAGTGATGGGGTCATTCTTGTGGATGTGATGCCAAGAGGTGCGACCATCAATTCAGACGCGTACATCAGGACCCTGAAAACCCTCAAGAAGCGTTTTCGACGAGTTCGGCCTCACAAGCATCCAGCAGAAATTTTGCTCCTGCACGACAATGCACGCCCTCACACAAGTCTGAGAACCCGGGAAGAAATCACCAAATTGGGTTGGACGGTGCTACCCCATCCCCCCTACAGTCCAGATCTGGCACCCTCCGACTTCCATCTCTTTGGGCCCCTTAAAGATGCTATCCGCGGAACAAGATTTGAAGATGACGAGAGCGTGATTCAAGCAGTGAGGACATGGCTACGTGCACAGGACAAGAGCTGGTACCGGCAAGGCATGCATGCCCTTGTTCCACGCTGGCGTAAAACCGTACAAGTTGATGGGGACTATGTGGAAAAATAGTATGTGTAAAGGAAACATTGATTTATATTGTCACTAAATTTGAGCCATCTTGAATAAATATGTTCTGAGGAAAAAAATGTGGGGCATTACTTAATGAGCGACCCTCGTATATATGAGCAGGTCCCTGACAACCTGAAGAGGTTGGAAGGATCCTGTTCATAATATATGGACCTGTCGTCAGACAGAACACTACAAATAAAAAATAAATGAGGAAGTAGGTAACAATATGAACAAAATTTAAACTTGCCACTATTTTTCATTGTACATCTGCTAGCTTTGATTGTGGAAGTAATTTGGTCATTCATTTCTAACCTCATTTTAGATGTTTCTCAAAATGTTTACATAATTATGATGAAACTAATCTAGTGTATGACCCATCAAATTTGACAAGAATGAAACTCTTTGTGTTAAACATTAATACATTTATTGCAGAATTATCTTTGCAAATCACACTGAAAATACCAAATTTATCAAATATCTTTACAAAGTAATTAAATTTAAAAATCTTCATGGCAACTGAAGCCAGGTTCCTGCCAAACATTAACACAAAACAACCCCCAGACTCCACCACAGCCACAGTTATCATCAGAACTTAATTTTATTGTATTTTTTTTTCTTCCTCCCATATTGCATGACTGGTACAGTTGTCCATTCAAGTGTGACAGATATTATCTATTATATTAGGAGTAGATATGCTATTTTAGAGAGAATAGCACCATGCCTCCTGAATAAACTTAGCTTAAAGGGTTCTTGATACATTTCAATGTTTGCATACGTTCCTTACCATTTCCAAGGTCATGCACCAAACTTCGAATGTAAAAACCCCCACCACAGTGTACTTCCAGTGTGAAGGATGGTGGTGAAAACTGCACACACTGAATAGCATGACAAGTGACAGGGCGAGGTCTCACTTCCACTTTTACGCCAGCCCTGTATTTAATAGAACTGTTATTATAACTAGACTAAAACAATTCATGTTTAAGAGTTATGTATTTGGTTAAACATGGGAGTGCGAATAGTACATCGTCAAAGCCCGTGGTATAAAGGACTAGAATTTGAAATGGGTTCTCAGCCACATGGCCTAAGACCTGCTGTGATAACCTATGTCATAAAATAGTGTTTCCTGATATCAGAGAACACATCCTGTTAATCTCATCACTATTTGGCAGTCTCTGTTGCTGTCAGCAAATGTTCAGGTTAAGAACTAGGATGTCGCACTGATGAACATTTGGAGGGATGCATGCATATCTCAGTGGCAGAAATTAAACTGGAATTAAAATACTACGCAAGCAAAAGCAGTGTGATGTGTGTTACTAATGGCCAATTTTGTAAAAGTGATATGTGAACCTGTTTACAATAGAAAGTCACTAACACTTAATAAATTGTCCTCATTAATAACATTTCAGCCCATGAATCAGTAAAGAAATGTGGATTTGGCCCTCAGTGTGGAAAAGGCTGAGAACCTGTGATTTTAAGGTAATGATGGCTGAAAGGAGCACATTGTGGAATATGTTACCCCTGTTACAGAAATATCAACTCCCTGTTGGTGTTATTAATTCTCCCTCAAATTTATCCATTGTTTTCATACATGCTTTCACTCGGCTCCAAACTCACTCCCAAGGTTTCACCATGCAAAGTGGTACAATAAACAAAAGATAATGATCTGTATTTTCTGGCCACACAAGTTACTAATTATTCAACTTTGTAATGTAAATTAACTTCTAGATGACTGTGTTTAAATCATAAAATGTACTTCATTTCTCTCCAAAATGATTGTGAGAAACTACTGAGCAATTAACTAAAAATGACATGTCATTTCTTATTTTATGTTTTTAGAGCATCTTGCAATTAATAACTGCAGTGTTACCTTATCTCAAGGTTAAACATT